CAAGCGCTTAGATATCGAATTACCAGTCCGACTTGTGGTAATACAGATCACTGTATCTTTTCAGGATTTGTATTGTTGTTTAGCAATGCTGAGATTGAATTTTCTGAGCGCGGAGTGATTTAGGGTACACAAATGACCGAATTATCTTCTTGTTAGTACAAACTTTTGCCATGTCTAGGTGAAATTGGGTTAAAGCATTCATAGTCACCAGGACAGTGAATCGTAAAGTTTTCTCTGCGTATGGTCAAAGAAAAAAGAAAGAAAGAAACAGAGGAGCATGGACAGTCTCTGTACTGCAAACAAGGTCCCATCACAATTTCCTACTTCCAATACAAACCACCATCCCACAGTCCCACCTCAAAATAAACAAGGCCAACGCACGGGTCTTGGGTAGATGTCATTGACGTTCTAGTAAAGACCCGACTAGTTCAATTCCACAACATTTTGCCAGTCTATACCTTGCGCATCCGCCTCACGCTTCATTTCTTCATCCCAAGGAGTTGCGGCTTGAGCGGATCGTGAATAATAACGGGCCCCGTTACCCATCAAGAAGATGTCCTTGTACATATCACCATGGTTAAGCTGCCTTCTGGCCATTTCTCTCAAGATGAGCTCATCTGGTTGGACAAATTTTGTGACTCTTTCATGTCGGCCGTATCCTTCATATTGAAGTGCTCCAACCTCGTGAGGAGGAACCCCATAAACGTACAGATCAGTCTCGTGTGGCAAAGGAGTATACTTCCAACGGACAAATGATTTGAGAGTCTCAAACTCGTTTCGAAGAGCAGCATCCCTCAAGACATCCCAAACAACGGTCATAGTAGGCTGAGCCATCAATAAATGATATAAACGGCCCGTGATATTCGAACGTTTTTTCCTCAGCAACGCATCGAGCTGAGCAATGAAGAGCATTGCGAAGAAAAGTTCGATATCTTGCCACACGTCACGGTTCGTTATTGTCCATTCACGACGTATGTTATCTGGGATATCCATGAGGAACCAGAGCTTCTTGATGGCTGGCTCAGATGGCTTCGGCAACCCATGGCCCGCAACGAGCATTTTTTCCATAATTTTCTTGACTGTTTTCTCGCGGTAGATGATCATTTGCAACCAGCAAAAGGACGGCGCAAGGTTGTTTTCGCCTACAATGTCGCGAGCAGGAATAAGTTGCCGCCTGACATTTGTATCACCGATGCACAGCCTCGGGTAACATCTGAATGGAAATATTTGAGAAGATTCGGGAGCGTCCCGCGTCGCCTGGCGTTTGATGATATCTGAATAATTCCTCTTCACAAACTGATTGAAGGGCTTGGAGGTTGCGAGTAAATTAATCAAATCTTCAACGTTGAGATATATGGTGAACTCTAGAGCTAAACCTTGATGATAAGTGAAAGCTAGGAGGATGTCGAAGCCATTGTGTGGGAGGTCTGTGGTATTTGAGCTCCTGCTATCGGTATCCTGAGCGGTGCTACTATTACTCACTGGCAGAGGGCCGATCGAGCCGCGAGACAAGGTAGGGAAAAGTTGAAGTCGAGGCTGTGGTCTATCCTGCTGATGAGACACAGCAAGACGGCTATTTTGCTGCGGGGGACGCCGAGTCTCTGCCCTTCGAATCCTACCCCCTTCGGGGGGTTGAAGGGGTCTTTCACTAACATGAGGCTCAGATTGACGTCCATTCGAAGCACGCGATCCTTCGTGGGACACTGTAATCCTGCTTTGAGAAGCTTCGGATCGAACCCCAGCTATAGGCTGTATTCTCAAACCTGCGCCAGGATTGCTGTCGCGCCTGAAGATTGGCTGTCTCCGAGGAGATAGAGGGTCGTGGGAACCTCTAGTTGGCTGAACAGGAAGTGGGTGAAGTACGCCAGTGAACCTCGCGGGTGGTATATGGGGGATTGAAATACCGTTGTTCGTGATCTGCACCAAAGAAGGATTATTCGGCCTGTTCACGATGCCCTGGTTCCCGCCCTGGGTCTGGCTAGTTGTGGGAGGCCTCATTGGTATCATATTCTCAGGTGCAATTCCTACCAGTAGCTGCTGCCGGATGAGGTATGTTTGCAGAGCCTTGTCTGAAGCTGTCATTGTGTCCGTTGAGACCTGAGCTGGGACGGAGTGTGAACCAGGGCTGGATCGTCTAGCTGGCTGAGCTGGGTTCGAAGTAGGCGAATGAACGGAATTAGTGGCGGTCGGATAAATACTCTGCCCAGCATGTGGAGTGTTGCTTTGCCTCGAGGCCTCTAGATGGCTACCCCTTCTAGGTTCGTTCGAAGCAGTGCGCTGTTCATGGCGAGGTCCATGTTCCCTCGAAGGTGCAGAGAGCATAATCAAAGTCTGAGCTGCTTCAATATCTTTATCATCTAGCGCCTCCATCTTGTTCGGTCTTTTCGTCACGACGTGCGTCAATAGAGAGCCTTTGGAGGTGATGTTATGGTCAGCGATCTGGTGGAGATACAAATTCGCAAGTGTCAATACGACGGGGAACACAAACCTGAAGCCTGATGAAGGACGACAACTACTAATACTTGCAGAGTAACTGGAAGTATACAGCGCTCATCCTAGGACTCAGGGTATTTAAAGGCAGGCTTAGCTCTCTTGTGAGACAAAACATAAATTATTATTGATATTTGTTTCCCTAGAGTGAATATGCATGTCCTACAAAATAGCCCAAAACATGACATCCAGTGAATCTAACCGTAGATAATGTCTTCAGTGTCAGTAATAAGACACGGAACGCGGACTTAGCACTCAAATTCACAAAAGCACGCCACTGTGATGAGACAAGTTCAGAAATCAATAATGTCGCAGTAGCTCAGAGAGTGAATCACTATACAAACCAGTCCTTGCTCACCCTAAGTGAATTTCTGAAGCTGGGCTGTGTCAACAGTCTCCACTGCGGTGTTCGGTTGCTATAGATGCTGAATGCTCACTAACAACAGAATGTATTCGGAAAATTCAGGAAGAAATGTTAGCGTCAAACAAAGACAGTGTTGAATTAAGATTGATTATCGTCTCATAACATAATAAGGTCATTTGTTAATAGCTGAGCTTGAGTTGAACCCTATCATGAGGATTGCTCTCCCTCATCTTTCCTTTCATCATCTCGTGTGCCCTCTATTGGTTCTGTATGTATTTCCACAAAGGCGACCCGAGTAATATGACAGAAGTCGTGCATGATCTGCTGCAGCGAAATAAAGGATTCCAGGATGTATACACAAGTAGTGCTTATAGGATGAAAAAGAGTATAGAAGAAGAGAAGAGAAGATCTGCCAACCGTGTAGCACGGTGGAAAAAAAAATCAAAACAACCGGACCCAAATAACCTGTTGAGAGGTAAACCGCCCCGAACTCCGTTCAAATCATGAATACCATCCACTGTTAAAAAGGGGGTAAAAAGTATGTGTCACAAACCACGTAGAAGACATTATCTCCGGTGCAATAGAGTCAAAAATTCCTCTCTGGTCTTTGCGCTAGATCGCATGCATCCCAACATACAGCTCGTCGTGGTGGTGCTGCTTGTTTTTTGCACACCGCGCATAACCATACAAAGGTGCGAGGACTCCATGACGACACCAACACCTAATGGCTTCAAGACATCCGATATGGCGAGCGCGACTTGTTTTGTAAGGCGCTCCTGCACCTGCAGTCTCCGGGAGAACATTTCCGCCAGGCGCGCCAATTTGGAAAGCCCAAGAACACGGCGATCAGGGATATAGCCGATATGCATCTATGGTGAAGATAACTGATCAGCAAGGTTGTATAGTCAAAATCCAAGACATAGTCCATACCTTTCCCATGAAGGGAACCATGTGGTGTTCACATAGAGAGAAGACCTCGATATCCTTGACAATAACTAACTCATCGTGGTCCTCGTGGAAAACTGCGCCATTGACCAGATCCCTGACATTCTCCTCGTAGCCTTTGGTGAAGTAGAGCATGGCTTTGGCATATCTCTCTGGGGTCTCCCGCAAACCTTCTCTCTCCGGATCCTCTCCAATGCACTCCAGAATGGTTCTCACTGCTCCTGCCAATTTTTGAACTCGTTCTTCAGTTTCCTCGGGCGAAGACTCTAACCGCGCCCTTGTGCCGGGGCCTATCGGGCAAAAATAGTTAGACGATATGTTCATTGTAATATTAGCCGTGTCACTTACAGGGCCAGCTCAGTCCATCAAAATCGATTGGAGGATATAGAGTGTAAGGACTTGCTGGGCGGCTAGCTGTCGACGGTGGGGTCAACGCCCGGGTGTCATCTCTTGGATCACGAGGCGGGTCATTCAATGACGGTCTAGAAACCCGATTAGTCACGAGCTGAACGTCAAGGTGTACAAACGACATACTTCACCGCGCCTGAGACCGTATGCGATTCGTTAGTGACCGGGGTAGACTCGTCGATAGGGTGTGCGACGGTTTCTGGCAAATTGAACTCTGCCGGGATACGAGGGGCAAATGAGGAGCGAATAGATGAGTTGAGACTCTCCCTTTCGCGAGCACCACGAGAGTTCATGGTGGAATTGAGCGAAGAACTCCCGTTCAACAGACGAGGTGGAACAGCGGATTTAGGCTTCGAGCCTTGAGGAGGAGATCCAGAACTCATGATGGAGGTGGAGGAAGGTAGAAACAGATGAGTAATTCTAAGTAGGTAGTTAGGTGGAGGGGGAAATGTGTCCGCCGATGAATTGGCCGGGCCAGCTCTTTTTAGTGTACAGATGACGGAGGGACAGGTGACAAATTCAGAATCTTTGGATCATAACAGTTGCAGTAATCATAAGGTTATCCTGACATGCGATAATGAGACATATTTATGATGGTTTTGAGGAGGGGCAGAAAAAAAAAATAAGCTAAGGAGGGGACGCCGTTTTGGAATGGCGACATTCTTGACGGGGCCGATGGACGATTGGACCTTCTCCGGCGCCGATCTGATTGTATCTGCTCACCGCCTGCGGGATCGGCCAGTGACGGCAAATCCGCTGACCTAAAAAGTGGACGTGCCTCAGTCCCTGTATTGTATTATCATTACCACTTACTATATATTAACATCAACGATAATTCTAATCACATTCTGCCGATCCAATATTAGTAATATGACTGTTTACTTGCATCTGTGTATTGTCATGAGTATTGAAATAGATATTTCTTCCAGAATTGTCAATCCAACTAGAATTACGAAGTACTACTTACTTTTTCCGTTCATGTCATTTTCCTAGTTGGATGTACTACTCCGTAGTACTCCATCCTTCCATCCTTACTACAAAGTACTCCTCGTGTATGTATATATGTATGTAGTACATAGTAATACACCATTGTAGCTTATGGAACCTTAGTTTGTCGTACAGCTCTAATTCGGCTCGACGAGACGACTTGGCACGTTTTTCCCAGAATCTCGCGCACTATCAGCATCCCTTGAAGCTTTGGCTATCCCAGGGGACCAATGGCATTAGAATCAGTTACCGATCTTACTGTACCTTATACCAATTTTTCCAGATACACAGTATCTCCGACTCGGGGAAACTTATACTCTTACAGGCTGTATCATCCATCCTACTCGTAGGTTTCCTCTAAAATAATCGGGAAAGTATGAAGCTGATTCGTCCCCTGAAACCCCGCGGACTTAATGGTGTGGATCCAAATCGAGTTGCGCCCTTCATCCCTACCCTGGTAGTCACAGATAGATTTCCTTATGAATAGAAACCGAGTATTTCTTCTCTATTAGATGGTTAAGTCTAATTGTCTTGAGTCATTGTTCTAGACGAAAGCAGAATCACTATTTCCTCCGGAACTCATTAAAAATAGCAAGGTTAGCAGGAGGATCCACACTTACGAGCTCTGTGAAAGCACCCTAGAATATCCGATACTTAGCGTCTTGCAAAGCTACTCGAGCTCGGGAAAGCATAGTATTATACAATTGAATCGAGTAAACAGCGGTGATCTCGATGCTGTCTATCGCTCAGCATGAATAGGTAAATATAGCTGGGTGGTCTTCTCTCCACGACAATCCATCCTCATTGTATATAGCGCGCCAAGATCCGTGTGATTATTCAGTAACATAGAAGGGAAATAGCGCATAGGACCTACTGCTCCTGAGTCTTAGTATTGATGCGACACCATATACTAGTACAGTAATCCTGCAATCAAACAAACCAATCACTACTAACTAGCAGGCTGTATCTATTAAGGTCATGATTCGTTCCATAGTCCCTGAAGTTAGGTGATCACGGCCATACACCACATCCATCCATAATGGATGACCCCTCTTCTAGTGCGTGTATGAGCGTAGAGATATAGTGGGAAATTAGGACATTAGCGGAAGTGGTAAGGGGTATCCCCTCAGACGGAATATCGCGCGAAGCGATAGTGATTGATTTCTGGTAAAAAAAAAAAAAATACATTGGTTGCGCGAGAGTATTCAGGAAGTCTGGTTAGACTGTAGTGTTCTTCTGGTAATGATTATCAATACAGCGAAAGCAAAACTTTCGTTCTAACACAAGCTCACATATCTCTTTCTCATTGAAATTTTCGTCCTGTCTGCAGCACTTATACAAGATCCTAGAATATTACCTTATCGGGTAATAAAATCCTCGGGATATTGGATGTTAACATGAAGTTAATCAGGCCTCCAATTCCTCGGTTGGCACATCCTCCAAGTCCTTACCAACAATGGCATCAGCAACCTTCCACACCTGTAACAGATTGTCTTCAGCGGCAGAACACAGAACCCATGGGTCGTTAAGGTTCCAACTGAAATCAGAGATACGGTTGGTGTGACCACCGTGCATGAAAAGGCTGTAGGAAGGTCAAATTAGCAACCAATGTTCGTAAAGCGAAAAGCACAATTAGAGTAACATACAGCTCAGGGGGTCCATCCTGTGCATCATCAGGGGTTTGCTCCTCGCCACTCCGGCTAAGATCCCAGAACATAATTTTACGGTCATAGCTTGCACTAGCCAAGACAGCTTCCTCGAACGGATGCCAAGACAGGGATGTTACGGAGTCGGTATGGCACTCGAGTGTGTGCAGTTTAGTCTTGAGATTACGCAGATCCCAGAGACCAATGGATTTATCAGCTGAACCTGTCGCGAGAACGGTTTCTGCAGCAGGGTTAAAAGCAATTGCGTTGATTGCATCACGGTGTTGGCCTTCCGCAGAAGCTGCCGCACGGCTTGTTTCTGCTTCTCGGATGTCAAGGATTTGAAGGGTGATATCGTCGGAAACTGTGCCAATGAGAGAAGAATGGAGTGGGTGGTACTGAACGTCGTTGACAATCGACGAATGATGGGTGTATGTACGAGTTGGCTTCAATGCCTTATTGCCTTTCGTGTACGTCGTTAAGTCCCTGCAACAAGAGTTAGTTTTTATATGGTAGACACAGCGACTGGAGTACAGTGCAATTACCAGAGTCGGACAGTCTTGTCTTCGCTACCTGTGACGAGGTGGCCTGTGGTGTGCGGGCTCCAGCTAAGACCAAATCCTTCCTTCGTGTGACCTAGAAGCTCCATTTGAGGGTTCACTGTGCCCGTAGGCAGGCTGGGGTGTTTCGAGCGATCCCAAATCATCACCCTTCCATCCGTACACATAGTGGCAATCACATTGGGGTTTTGAGGTTGATAGCGCGCCTTGTTTACTTCGCCTTTGTGATCAATCTTCTGGACAATATTGAACTTGATTTCCATTGGGGCCTTTTTGGAGCTGCCGCCATAGCCACCAATTTCCCCACGCTCCTCATCGTAGTCGTCCGGATTAGGAGCCGAAGGATTGGGAAGTTGCACATGAGCAATTTGTAGATAGTTTTGCGCATCACTTGAGGTGTGTGTACCAAGCAGCAATCGATGAGTTGAATACGGCTTGTCGGGGACCCTAGAAAGGTTAGATTTATATAGCACAGCTAACAGTGGGACAGGCGCATACTCTTGCTTGTCAGGTAGCCATTGTGTTGTAAGAGTAGGCCATTCTAATGCCGTACTAAGAATCATATCGTATAGGAAAGGCGCATTCTTCTTCCAGGTTTTGTATTCTGATTTAAGCCTTTAGTCTCATAGCCGAATCCTGAGGAACAATGCTCAGTCACCTTCATTAATGACTTTCTCCTCAGTACGCTCTTCCTCCTGCTCTTCCTGTTCCTCAATAAATCCTAAAGCGACGAGGGGTTAGATTCGTTTGCGCAAATAGAAGTGGAACAGAAATCGCACCGTCGTCGTAGGGCTCCATGATTATTGTAGGAGATCACTCTAAGACAGAGAATAAGAACAGTGTGTTGGGGGATAATTATTATGTAATTATACAAATTGCACCGCAAGAGGGATAATAAACGTTGTTATGCGAATGAAAGCTGTGTAAGGCCAACGGTGACAGAGCTTTGAGCTGCGGACTGAGCTCTCTCCCGCCTGGAGAAACGCGACCTTCCCGTTGACACCGCGTTAATGGGCGCCCAGAAAAGCTAAGCCATTTTCGGCGATCACGGCTTGGCGCCATCATCTCCATCCTTGACCTCACGACCGCTGACTCGGCAGAGTCACCAACCTCGCTGCTGACCTTTACGATTCTTAGAGGCGCTCTCGCCTTCTTTTAATGTTTCTTTCTGTTTGGAACATCGTTTTATTTCTTTTTAGCTTGGAGTCCCACGTTCTCTGAGTATTCGCAGTCAGCTGTTCCTGTCTATACGATCGCATTTCCCATTCATTGAATGATTTGCCCCCGAATTCGATTACTTCTTCGCTTTTGACGACTGCGACGACCACCACGACAGACTAGAGACCTTCGCATTTTCTTATCTCTACAATATAGCCTCCAGGGGATTTCATTGTATTGATTCATCATGGGTGTTCCTAAGTTCTTCCGCTGGCTGAGCGAGCGGTATCCTGCGATCTCAATGCTGATCGCAGAGAATCGGATACCTGAATTCGACAACCTGTACCTCGACATGAATGGTATTATTCATAACTGTACGCACAAAGATAGCGACTCCCCTACTTTTCGCATGACCGAGGACAAGATGTTTATCGCCATATTTAATTATATCGAGCATCTGTACGGCAAAATCAAACCAAAGAAACTCTTCTTTATGGCGATTGATGGTGTTGCCCCTCGGGCCAAAATGAACCAACAGCGTGCACGACGATTTAGGACAGCTTTGGATGCTGAGGTTGCGAAGGAAAAAGCCATTAGCCAAGGAATTGAGATGCCCAAGGAGGATGCTTTCGACAGCAATTGTATTACCCCGGGCACGGAATTCATGGCTAAACTGACAGAACAATTAAAGTATTTCATCAGCAAGAAGATATCGGAGGATAAAGATTGGCAAGGAGTCGAGATCGTACTATCAGGTCATGAAGTACCAGGAGAAGGTGAACATAAGATCATGGAATACATCCGGCATGCGAAAGCACAGCCAGGCTATGACCCCAATGTTCGCCACTGTCTTTATGGTCTCGATGCCGATTTGATTATGTTGGGACTCCTCAGTCATGACCCTCACTTCTGTCTTCTTCGTGAGGAAGTAACGTTTGGGCGTCAAGTCCAAAAAAAGCCCAAGGAACTTGAACATCAAAATTTCTACCTTTTACACTTGTGCATGGTCAGGGAGTACCTAGAATTGGAGTTTCAGGAGTTGGAACGGAACGACGTTTTGAGCTTTTCTTTTGACATGGAACGGGTTATCGACGACTTCATCTTGATGGCATTCTTTGTTGGAAATGACTTTCTACCTAATTTGCCTAATCTGCATATTAACGAAGGTGCCTTGGCGTTCTTGTTCAAAATCTACAAGGAGATTTTGCCAAAGATGGGTGGGTATATCAACGAGCAGGGCGTTATCAACATGGAGCGTCTGGGTATGCTTCTTGACGGCTTGAGCGATGTTGAATTCCGCTTTTTTGAAGCTGAGTACTCAGGCGAGCGATGGATCCAGGCCAAGAAAAATGGCGGAGAAGACAACTCCGAATCCCAGGAAAGACCTAAAAGTCTTACAATTACCCCAGCGCAGAAGAATCTTCTGAAAGAGGTCAAGAAATATGTACTCAACCGACCTGAAAAGGCGGCAGACCCTCAACCTCTTGATTTCCCTCCCACACTGCCTGCTCGAGATCGCAAGTTCTTGGAGCAACTTGCAGATGACCTTCGACTGCCGTGGACCACTGAGCCAGATGAACATGGGGAACGATTTATTAGATTTAAGCTTCCAGCAAAACAAGATGACGATAGCGACGACGAGGAAGACGAAGAGGCATCCATGGCTGTTCAACGTATCATCCGAAAGTACGAGAATGCAAAGGTTCAAGAGCTCTCTACTGAAGATGCTCAGAAAGCTGCTGAGAAGAAATATGAGGAAAAGTTCCAAGAGTGGAAAAACAAGTATTATACAGAAAAGTTTGAATGGGGGCTGGAAAACCATGAAGAAATGACCAAATTAACGGAGAACTATGTGCAAGGTCTCCAGTGGGTTTTGTACTATTATTACAGAGGCATAGCGTCCTGGCCTTGGTTCTTCCAGTATCACTATGCCCCAATGATTTCTGGTTGGTTTTCCTACCGACCTTCTAAAGATTTTCACTGACCTACTTGCTTTAGATGTTAAAAAGGGCCTGAACGCAGATACGAATTTCCAGCTTGGTCAACCCTTCAGGCCTTACGAGCAGCTTATGGGTGTCTTACCCGATCGAAGCAAGAAAATCGTGCCTGCTGCTTACAGAGACTTGATGACTTCACCGGAGTCTCCTATTGTCGATTTCTACCCTCGTGATTTTGAGTTGGATATGAATGGTAAGAAGATGGAGTGGGAGGCAGTTGTTAAAATCCCATTCATCGAGGAGAAACGCTTGCTGGATGCTCTTAAAACGAAAGAGCATCTATTAACTCCGGAAGAAAAGGCACGGAATGGCTTCGGTGCTAGCCTTAAGTTCACGTACTCACCCGATGTACAGTTTATCTACCCATCGTCACTCCCTGGTGTTTTCCCAGACATCCCTAATTGCCATTGCATCGAGAATATCTTCGACTTGCCTACTATGGATGGTCTTGAGCCCTACATTGGTTTGGTTGATGGAGCTCAACTTGGAGCATCAGCATTAGCAGGTTTCCCAAGTTTGAAGACTTTGCCTCACGTTGGCCAATTAGGCTTTCATGGGGTATGCGTCTTCCAGCAAGAGAGCCGCAACGAAAGCATGGTCATCACAGTACTTGATCCTGGAAGCAGGTCAAGTAGCTTGTTGGCTAAGCAGAAGCTCGGGCAGCGTGTTTTTGTGGGTTATCCATTCCTACAAGAAGCATACGTTGTTCGTGTTTCCGATGAGCTTTTCGATTACATCAAGCCTGAAGGGGAGGAACACGTTGTAAATATTCCCCATACTGAGGCTCAAATCGAGCAATGGAAGAAGAAAGCCGACAAGATCGAAGGAACGTATAGCAGGCGACTTGGCACGATCATTGGCCCTGTCGAGGCGATGGTACACGTTCAACTACTGAAAGGGTTACTCAAGACCGATGAAGGTGCTACAGTGAAAGAATTCGCAGATATTCCAGGACAAGAAACCGATTACGCTCTTCAGCTCGTCGTTGATGAAGTGATCAATCCCGATGAACGCTTCATTGAACGTGATGCTTTGCCTATCGAAGAAGAATTTCCCGAAGGCTCTCGTGCCTTTTTCCTCGGAGAATTTAATTACGGTAGGCCCATGCATATCACAGGGCATAGTAATGGCAAAGTGAACGGATTAATCGCTGCTGTTAAGGGCCGAGAAGCCGAGTTTGGAAAGGAGCGTGCCAGGGATGCCGAGAGGTTTTGTCCTTATATGCCTTCTTACGCGATTGCCCGCAGCCTGCAGCTGAATCCCTTAGTATTGGCGAAAATCACTTCAGCCTTTTCTGTGGATGTGGAGGGTCAGCGTGTTAATCTGGGTCTAAACCTGAAATTTGAGGCGAGGAAACAAAAGGTTCTGGGCTATTCACGCCGTGGAGACTCTGGCTGGGAGTTTAGTCCCAAAGCGGTTGAATTACTCCAGCAATACATGATCAAATTCCCAGAATTCATCGCTGGTATCCAGCGTAACCCTCAGGGTGATCGCTATAAGCCAACTGATTTCTATCCTGAAGAGACCGCCCTTCTGAAGGTCAAGGAGATTCGTGAGTGGCTCAAATCTATCGAGGCCAAGAATTTCGAGAGAGTTCCTCTCGATGCTGAACAGCTCGATTCCGACATTGTCAAGTTGATCGAGCAGGATGCGGATCAATTGATTCAAAGCCAGCCCGCGATGCAAGCAAAGAAAGTAGGGGGTGTTCCACGAAGTGCTCTCCTCAGGCCATCTGATGTGGAGCAGAGACTCGGGAACCAAACGTTTAGACTTGGTGACCGCGTTGTCTATGCCCAGGACTCCGGAAAAGTGCCCATAGCCACTCGCGGAACGGTCGTTGGTCTCACCCGGACGTCACGGGCTCTTCTCCTAGATGTTGTTTTCGACGTTTCATTCATGAGCGGAACGACACTAGGTGACCGATGCTCTCCATTCCGGGGACAGACAGTTCTGTCATCTTCTGTCCTTAATGTTTCATACCGACAGCTACTCGCCACAACCCGAGCAGCCAGCAGCCAGCAAAGTCAACAATCACCTTTGACAGTTGCGGGCTATGGTGCTCCTTCTGGGCCTGGTGGACAGGGGCAGCTGAAAGAAGCTTCAGCCCCTCCACCTCTCAGTGGCTCTTACCGAGGTGCTGTTGCAGGCATGGGTAACGGTCGCGGCAATGGTTTCCCTCAAAGGGGCCGGGGTGGTCGTGGCGGACGGGGCGCCTCTAATGGTGTCGGGCCGCAGACAACCTTACCTTTTCGGCCACATCCCAACGGTGGAGAACAGCAAACTGATGGGACACATCGCGGAGGTAGAGGGAGAGGCCGCGGCGGCATGGCCCGTACTCGAGGAGGATACGTCGCCGTGGATCCCAATCCGGATGCGGGTGTAGTAAAACACAACCCGAACTTCCGGGCACACAATTACTCACAAGTCCCCCCACCTAAGAACTTGAACAACCGTGGCGGACGTGGTGGCCGAGGAAACCCTCGGGGAAGCCATCGCGGCAGAGGTGCTACTGCAGGGAACAGTCAGGCTTGACTCTCCACTTGATACCTAGCCGTGTCTGTGGATGTCGCCTCTTGGTATTGAATTATCCGAACTTGAACTGGTCTGGATGATATGTAGGAAGAGATGCATTGAGCTTTATTTCTCGTCTTACAGGAGAATAGAGGCATGGAAATTTACGGAGTATACACGCATTGAGATGAACCTGTATATACTGTGCCATAGCCTACCATTTAGTACTCCTCCGTAGGTATCGGAGTGAACTTACCCGAGGTAGCAACAGACTAGACCCAAAGGTGATTAGTGACCTCCCCCCGCATAAATGCGTCTCCATTGAGCTTGTTCAGGAAGTGCGGAGATGGATAAATATCCGAGTACCTAGTATTCACTAGTAGTGGTTCATCTTTGATAAATAAATACCGAACCATAGTCAACTTAACCTACCAAGCTTAGTCCATACCTACCATACACACGCGACCAAATCCCCCACTGAAAACAATACCAACCATGACCTCAACCCCCGACTTCGACAGCCTAACCCTAGACCCCAAGGGTCCCGTAGGAAACGCATGGGGCCTGTTCCCTAGAAATGACATCGGCATGCTCAACCTGCTTACCCCAGAAACTGTCCGGCAGGCAGCGAGCGAGGAGATTCGTACGGGTGTCCGAATCTCGCTCGATCTAGCATTAGACCGACTCAACCACCCGAGTTATGGACGCAAGCCATTCACCCGGGAAATGGTGAACAAAGCGCCGAGAATTGTGAATGATGATATTTTGATGTTTAATACGCAGACGAGTAGTCAGTGGGATGGGTTTCGGCATTATGGTATGTGTGTTTGTGTCTATGGTCTCTTCAGGGAACAGTGTCAATGTTTTTGTGATGTGGTGGTGGGACAAGGGTTAACGGGAAATGATACATATATATATAGGGCATCAGGAATTGGCACGTTACTATAAGGGACATACGTTAGAAGAGTTGCAGACTTCACCTGTTATCGGGATTGATTGTAAGAGACTAGTTCACTCCCAATCATCACCCCTTTCAAATCTAGACCATGCTAACAAAATGAAAAAAACAAAAAGCTTGGGTAAATAACGGCGGCATCGTAGGCCGAGGAGTCCTCCTCGACTACGCAACCTGGGCGGAAAAGAACTCAATTCCCCTAACCCCATTCCAAACAACCAGCATCCCCCTCTCCTACATCAAAAGCATAGTTCAAGAAAATAACATTCAATTCCGACCCGGCGACATCCTCTTCGTCCGCACCGGCTTCACAGAAGCCTACAACAACCTCTCAAAGGAAGAAGAAGCCGCGCTGGCCCAGCGCCCCAGTCCAGATTTCTCCGGCATCGAGAACGGTGAATCCACGCTGCGCTGGCTATGGGAGAACCAGTTTGCCGCAATTGCCGGTGACTCGCCGAGCTTTGAGCCTTCACCTGTCGTCAGGGAGGATTCACCGGCGGATACGACATTGCACCAGTGGTGTCTTGCAGGGTGGGGGATGCCGATCGGGGAGTACTTTGACTTGGAGGAACTCGCAGAGTACTGTCGGGTGAATGGGAGGTGGAGCTTCTTTTTGTCGAGCGTGCCGCTTAAGGTGAGTGAATTGAGCTGTCATGCGGGCTACATGCTAGTGGGTGCTAATGGGTGTTTTAGGTTCCGGGGGGTGTCGCGAGTCCGCCAAATGCGGTTGCTATTCTTTGATATATAGGGTTAAACTATTCTCAGGAGTTATGGAGACTTTGCAATGAAAGTGTGTGAATCTAGACTAATTCCAGACTAACTAGAGGTAGGAGCCAAAGACAGATAACTAAAACTCAATATCAATCAATGTGAATGAATGTTGAATGAATGGTGCCGGTCCAAGCAGTACATTGCATCGCATCGAGCCCTAAGTAACCCGTTCCGACATAGTACCAAGCCGTCACATCAGATATCAACGTTCTTCTTCTTGATGAGAACTTTAGTACTGATGCTTGGCATAATCTGTTCTCCATTCACGATATTCTTAGGTCTTCCAGTTTGACCATCCTCGAACTTGAGATCATACTCAGCCAGGAGTCGACTCATGATGGCCTTCGCAATGACCACCCCAAAGAACCGGCCAGGACAAGCCTGTCTACCGAATCCGAAGTGTAGATTGGCAGGGCAGACATCAGTAACACTTCCATCTGGGGCATTAAGGTCTTTGCACCAACGGAACCCATCGAAGGTAAGTGGATCGGGAACGATAGCTGGGTCGCGAGACATAGGGCCAGATGGGAAGCAGATATGAGTTCCTTTGGGAAGAGTGTTGCCATCGGAGAGAGTGAGAGGTCGTCCGAGGATGCGTTGGGCGGAGACTGGCATCGTTAGTTATGCACTTATGAATATTAGCCCGGGGGAGCGGAAAATTGAATAGATGTTATAAATAAGGATTTTAGCACTTACCTTCAGAAGGGGGGTTAAGACGCTGCGATTCGCGAAGAAAGCTATCCAATCGATGCTGGGCGCCAAAGTCGCTCAACGAGGCCCTAATCCAGCCGTTTCTCAAAGTCTCTTGGATTTCTTCTCTCAGAGGCTCAAGGTACTCGGGATGGACCATCAAATCATACATAGCATGAGTGATGAGCATCGTACTGGTCTGAACGACAGCCAAAGCCATGGTAATCATCAGCCCGTATGCCAAGTTCACGGGTTCTCTGTCGTAGTCATTGCCCGCTAGATCCATCATCCACTGCAGGAAGTCATCTTGTTTCTTGTAGGCCGGGTCATTGAGCTCTCGTCCCCTGCGGTGTTGGATCATAGGCAAGATAAGTTGTTCTGCAATCCATCGGAGTTGTGTTTCGAGTCTCCGAACACTTGGAAGGAAAGGAGCTACAAGGCGACGGAGGAATCTTGGAACGAGCTGTAGTTGTTTGGCGGCAATACGCACGTCGTATGTACACTTAGTGATAATGTTGATCCATTGTTCGCTTCTGCAGAGCCTTTGGCCGATGATGATGCGGGATGTTGAGTGTGTAACGAGCTTGAGGATCATATGGTACAAATTGATGGACACATACTTGCCTTCACAATAAGGGACTACAGCCGAGAAAGCATGGTGGAGTTCAAAGAGCAGTCGAGGGATTTGACGGTCTGTGATATGAATGTCAGCGCCGATGCTCAGTTTATGATGAGATAGGTGGTGTAGTAGTATACTGCACACCATTTCAGCACTCTCTCTACATACCCAAAACTGGATTCAATCTCTCTGAAACGGTGCGTGCTGGCAACCCGCTGTTTATGAGCATGTCGATACATCCTCCCAGAATACTCTAGATGACACTTAGTTAGCTGAATACATCTTATCTGCCCAGAAATGAGTGATATACCCACCTTGTACTTTGCACCGACAAGGCTTGCCTGGCGTGAATGAAGATCTCCAAGTTCCTCAAGGTATGTCTGAGGCAGGACGGTCAAATCTCCATCCAGCTTGAGAATCCGGAAGGGTTTGGATTTGTACTAAAATATGATCAGCACCGATGAGCCTTTCAGTGCAAATAAAAACATACCTTTTCGTATCCATAGGAGATCAGAGAAGGCGCCTTGACGACATAAAGGATACGGTTGAAAAATGGAGGCAGAAGCTTGAAGTGCTTGAGCGTAGGCAGGCTGGGTCGGCTTGAGTTTGCAGTAGAGCACTCCATGATAAAATAAAAGACAAGGAGGCCCACAACAATAGAGACCCAGTGCCATTCAAGTCCCATTTCTTTCAAATAGTCCATATAATCCATTATGATTAACTAAGGAGCTGTGAAATAAACCACAAGACCGGAAACTGGAGAACTGGATGTGGATGTGCAGAGAAGATTGTCCTTTGATGAACAGAGTCAAATGGAAAGACGAAAGAAGAGAGAGAGACAGACAAGTGGAGTAATGAGCAGGTCAATATGTTGGGCGCCATGGCGATTGGGTGTCGTGAAAAACAACAGCATTGCGTTCCAGTGAGCATCAATAAAAACGACTAAATATATAATATGGGTATTTGCGTATAAGTTTTACGTTACACAAAAACACCTGACACCTTGAGCTTCAATCGTTGTCGGCTTGCAGTGTTTAGATATAGGCATTATAAATGGTCCTTCCCAGTGCTCTTGTAGTCATTTTGTTGTATTCAAACCTGTAGACAGTGATTCATTGTTATTGGACTGTACATGAACAAAACAAGATAGAACATGGTTGTTGTTGTCTTGCAAGATTTCGATTATTCATAGAAAGACGTGTCTAGACGTATGTACATCATGCTATCCAAATACAAGCATCAAAGTACCCCCAAACTTTTGCTGTCCCCTTTTATCTTCCAGGTATACCAGTATCGAACGCCAGCCGCAAATGCGAAGGATAGAAGAATGTTGGATAAGCAGAACAAGTGTGTAACCAAAGGAAGATGACTCGCAATCACTCAAGACCAATCCATTCCTCTTCCCCACCCGCGGTGTCGGCCATGTCCTCATCACCATTTGCTGCCGTCTCATCGGTTTCAACATCCGCCAAGGTTAGGGTATTGTTCGTCTTCTTGCCCGCAAGTACGGGTTTCGAGAGTAGATAATTCAGATCGTACAGGTTCTTCTCTGTCATCCTCTTCAGGTTTTCCCGGATATCGTCAATGGCACGTTGAACAGCGCGAAGTTCTGGCGCAAAAGTACCGGAATTTTCCTTGAAATATCGGCCATGACTGCTCAAGAGGGATTCAATCCATAGTAAGTTGAACTCTAGATGTGGGGTTTCCTCGGCAGCGTGAGCAACATAACGCAGCAGACGAGGAAGGTAGACGGTTGGCAGGGCCCGGACAACATGAGAGATTTCGGGCGGAGGGACTGCTTCATGGACAAGGCGGATAAACTTCGACTCATTCAACCGAAACGCCATAACTAGCGCTTTCAGGAAAGTATCATCATTATCGCTCGTGCCTGTTGTATATGCCTGCTTGGCACTCTCAAGGGTCTCCATAATGCTAATCGGGGTGATCGAAATATCAAGATCAAATGGATCAAAAACATATTCTGTATCCAGGCTATAGATGAGAAGACCCTCCGTAGACGCCGCACAAAATGCTCGCCCAGTTGGTGAGAAATTAACGGAAGTGACGCGTACTTCGGGCCGAGTGGTACGAGCTCCAGCGTCCCCACGCTTTGTGCCAGGGAGAGAGCGATCAATACGGTCTTCGCGATCCGATGCCTCGCCTGTCTCATCGATCAGGCCTCGGGGGCCAGCTTCTGTCAAGTCGCGACTGTTCAAGATCTCCTGGGTGCCATCAAGCGAGGTATTGACGGAAACTGTGTACTTCTTCACCAATGAGCCCGTCCTCACGTCGTACAGGCAAATGTACTTGCTGTTGCCTCCAGCGAGAATACAGCTTCCATCAGCGCTGTATGTAATGCAGTTGAAGAACTTAGTTCCCGCGGCGTTCGCAGCGGTTTGGCGATCAGCCATCTTGCGACCTCCTGAGACGTCATGACGACCATCAATCCCGCTTTCTTGTACTGCATCGGCCACAGACCAGAAAGTTAACTGGCCATCTAACGATGATGCAGCCACCTGTTTGCCATCTGGCCTGAAAGCAACGCTGAGAACATCAGACACGAGTTGCAACGGCTCGCTGGTCTGTGTTCGCCCGAATATGCTCCATATGCGAACTGTACGATCCCAACTACCACTGACGAGGTGGTTGCCGTCTGCAGCAAAAGCAAGAGCGGAAACGGGGCCTTCGTGGCCTGTGAGTTGATCAAGCAGTTGTCCGGTCTGGACAGACCATATATGGATGTCGAACGAATCTGGAGATCCGGCACAGACCACTTCGCCACTTGGGTCGACAGCAAGCGAAGAAAATGACAATCGAGACGGTGCGGTGAAGGTTCGGAAATTGCGATAACGGATGAGGTCCCACGCCCTCACTGAACCATCCAACGAGGCTGTGAACAAGACACTTCCTTTCTTGGCGAACTGGCAAGCAGTAACTGCGCTGCTGTGTTCCGTAAATGTCACAACACAGAAGCCCGACTTGACGTCCCAGACCTTGACCTTTCCGTCGTCGGAAGTAGTGACGATCTTCTGGCCGTCCGGGGAGTAAACTAGGGAGCCCATCGACTCCAGATGACCCTGTTGTTTCAAAATGTACGACTCGGACTGCCATTCCCATACTAGCAGTTGGCCATGCTTAGAGGAGCCAAAAGCAAGCCATTCACCGGATTTGTTTACCGTCACATAGTCGATGTTGCTCTGGGAGACGCTGTTTTCAGTTAGCAATAAGCACAATATTTAGTTTGAATAAAAGCTATTATACCTCAGAAGGTGGATCATGTTGAACTCTGGTAAGTCGTAGAGCCCAAAAAGACCATTCGAAAAGCCCACCACTAGGAGATTAGTTGGGGCATGAAATGCAGTGCAATTGACTTTAGCATCATTTTGCATAAAGAAGTCCTTTTTCACAATCCTCCAGCGCGCCTCGGCGACGTCTTCCATGGTATCGGGGTCTTTCTTTGTCACATATTCCCACCTGAATAAAGCTCCATCTTGACTAACGGTATAGATCTACAAGGAAGTCAGCTAATGTTTAGATGCACAATCAAGAAGACCTACAGATTCTTGATCAGCAGAAAAGAATGCCGCCTTCACACCTTGCCGGTGCCCCGCCAATGTGGTGGGTTCGAAGCCCTCCTCTGGATCCAAACTCCATACCCGGGCTGTTAAATCCTTGGAAGCAGTGAGAATGAAGCGCGAATCGTGAGACCATTCCAAATGCTGAATGACGTCAAAATGGCCAGCAAGATCTCGGTGTAAGACGAAAGGTGCGAAATCAAGCTCTCCATTATTGTCCGCACCCGGCGTTGAAGGGGTATTCCAAAACTGCAGTCGTCGCCCCACTCCTACAGCAAAGAATCGGCCGGACGGGGAGAATTTGAGGGAGGAGACACGGCCCTTGAAAGAGAAGTGGTGGATAACAATCCTACGCTTGAAGTTCGTCAAGATTGCGCGGCCATTTTCGTCAACGGACAGTAGGAGGTTGCCTTGAGGTGTCAGATCTAAACGGTCGATGTTCGTGCGGTGCGCAAAGGGGAGAGTGTATGATGTATTGCTTCGCGCGGTGTCGCATTAGTGATGACTGTCAATTGGTACTTATAAAGATGTATATAATTACATACTGGACAAGGTCGAAGACCGTAACCCGGTTTCCTACCGGGGAAAGCAAACAGGTGCCATCGGGGGTGAAAAGAAGATTTCCTTTGCGATAGACCGTACCCAGTAGGTTGGAAAACTAACGCATTGTCAGAAGGTTTCACTTTGATTCGAAATTCAGGACAAAAGATAAAATCAGCTATAGCTAGAGATAACTGACCTTGAAATCTGTCTTCATTGTCGCCAGCCCGTGTACCCCGGCGTGCAGTCAGTCAATCAATCACCTTTAAATCTGGACCTCCAAAAAAAAATGACTTTTCCACCCAAACGGGCGATAAGGGAGCTGATCCGCATGTTAATCCGACACCGAGGGGCTAGTCCGGAAGAGGTATAGTGGAGCCCCCCACTGGAATTGGAGGTCATGGTCCTGGTCATGCCTTTTTGCCTGTTTGCTTCTGTTTGCCTCTCCACCGCTGACTAGACGGGATTCAGGGGCAGTTTAAGCCAACCCAAACCAAAAGAAGGTACGACAAACTACCGCATCCTCTTGTTTGCCTGTCTTCCTTTACATTCTCAACGGCCATTGATTCCGGATTGGTACTGCTACCCATTCAATTCTTTCCCATTGCTCCTTTCTTTTTCCCGTTGGCTAATTTTTGTCGAAAGCAGGGCGTCGTTTCTCCCACCATCGTTTTGTTGTTTGTCTTAGTTGAATTCCCATCCCTCGTTGATCGACCCCTTTATCACAATGGCCTCCACGACTGAGACTGCCTCCCCCATTGGCATTGCCAACGTAAGTGCTGGAATACGTTCGGGAACTTCTCCAAATGGACCTATTACTGATTACTTATTGCAATAGCTTCCCAACCAGCGGTATGTTTCTCGATTAGCTATGGTGGAGAAGGGGTGGAGGGTCCTAACTGAAGCTTTACAGTCACAAGATTGTCGCTAAGCGGGGTGCGGCTTTCACTATCATGGTTTGTCTAATAGGACCCCAACACGGTAACCAGAGCAGCACTGATATTCTGGCAGGTTGCTGGAGAGTCTGGTTTGGGAAAGACCACGTTTATCAACACCTTGTTCTCGACGACCATCAAGAACTATGCCGACCACAAGCGTCGTCACCAGAAGCAGATTGACCGGACCGTTGAAATCGAGATCACTAAGGCCGAATTGGAGGAGAAGTTCTTCAAAGGTACACCATAGCCCTTCCCGTTCGCTGGGTGACAGCTGACGCTCTGGATGTATTTTTACAGTCCGCCTGACCGTCATCGATACCCCCGGATTCGGAGACTACGTCAACAACCGCGATTCCTGGCAGCCTATCATTGAGTTCCTCGACGATCAGCATGAGTCCTACATGTTGCAAGAGCAACAGCCCCGCCGCATAGATAAGATCGATATGCGTGTGCATGCCTGTCTGTATTTCATCAGACCCACCGGCCACACCCTGAAGCCCCTCGATATTGAGGTTATGAAGCGCTTGAGCTCTCGCGTCAACCTTATCCCCGTCATTGCTAAGGCCGACACCCTCAGCCCTGCCGATCTGGCTCGCTACAAGCAGAGAGTAAGATTAACTTAGGTTCTCCATTTGTGAATTTTTTTACTTAGCCTATTCCTTTCATATAGGTTAAAGCTGTCGTTGAAGCCCAAGGCATTAAGATCTACACTCCCCCGATTGAAGAAGATGATGAGCATGCTGCCACCCACGCGCGGAGCCTGATGGCTGCCATGCCTTTCGCCGTGATCGGTTCCGAGAAGGACGTAAAGACTAGCGACAACCGGGTTGTAAAGGGTCGTCAATATGCTTGGGGTGTTGCCGAAGTTGAGAATGAGGACCACTGCGACTTTAAGAAGCTTCGTTCGATCCTGATTCGTACCCACATGCTGGATCTTATCCACACCACCGAGGAGCAACACTACGAGGCCTACCGTGCGCAACAGATGGAAACCCGGAAATTCGGTGAAGCCCGCCCCAGGAAGTTGGACAACCCCAAGTTCAAGGAAGAGGAGGAGGCGCTTCGCAAGCGCTTCACCGAGCAGGTCAAGGTCGAAGAGCAGCGTTTCCGACAGTGGGAGCAGAAGCTCATTGCCGAGAGAGACCGCCTCAACAAGGACCTCGAGGCTACGCATGCTGCGTATGTTTTCTCATTCTTCATCTTGGAAATGTTAATCCGACTAACGAGAGACAGGATCAAATCACTGGAGCAGGAAATCGAGTCCTTGCAGGGCTCATCCACCCGGAGCCATGGACGTCGCTAAGGCACTTTTGGACCACTGCAAACTGTGGTCTTTCGACCAACAGTGGAAAAAGCAGACTTGTGCATTCGTCAATTTTAATTCATGTTCATTTGACTACCCCTTGAAATTTTCTTTAACTTTCCTATTTTCGGCTTTCTGTGTACTCAAGGGAGACAATTTGCATAGGGCATAGACGCCCTGTCCTGAGTTTCGCTGGGTTTTCTTGTTATTATTCTCTTTACCTGCTGGTAGCTAGCGATGGTTTTTCTACATCATTGATAATAACCTACTTGTATTCCGTGGCATGTCAATACACATTTAATTTGTTTGAGTTGTCCATGGAAGTATACAATAATTCGACTTCTGCGGAGGAGCCGCGGGACGCTACTAGGATAGAGTTACCTCTGTGCTCCCGCTGCCATTTAAATTTATTGCCAAGAACGACAGCTCTTTTCTCCGCATCCACTTAAACTGCGACTCTCTTGCGACTCGGATCAACACCTTAAATATAGCGGCGTGTATTTAACATTACTGTGTACAATGCCCGTGACGAAACAATTCCCTACAAATTTAGTCCACACATTAAAGACACATAATGGTAAGCTCCCTCCACCTTCAGGAGCTTCTTCCCTCTGACGTCGTCTAGGGCCGGTGAATGCCGTCACATTCTCCAGTTATCCTGGAACATACGTTTTGACCGGTTCGTCCGATCGCGCTGTCCATCTCTCCCGCGCGATACCCAACAAACCTGGTACGGAAACGACATCCCCAATTCAAAAGTACGAAGCGCACGGGTACTCGGTGCTCGATGTAGCCGTCACGGGTGACAATTCCCGCTTCGCCAGCGTTGGCGGAGACCGACAGGTTTTCCTCTGGGATGTGGAACAGGGCATAACTGTAAAGCGATGGAGTGGGCATGGGGCGCGTGTTGAAGCGGTGCAATTTGCAGGCGAAGGCGATTCGGTGGTCGTTTCTGGTACGTTTTACCAATTTGAGTCACCATCTCAGCCTACGTGATGATGAAATCGATTGACTCTAACATAATTAATATATACTTTAGGCAGCGCAGACACTACGATTAATCTCTGGGATACACGATCCAACTCAACGAAGCCAATCCAAACCCTCACCGAAGCTAGCGACACGGTCTCATCCATCCATGTTCACACCCCTACGTATTCCATCGCAAGTGGAAGTTACGACGGCCGTGCCCGTATCTACGATGTTCGCATGGGTCGTACAACGGTCGATGTTCTCGCACACCCGGTAACGAGCGTGCGCTGTTCGGCGGACGGGAACGCCCTTTTGGCTTCAACATTAGACAGTCGCATTCGAATGCTTGATCGCACTGATGGAAAGCTTCTCCAGGCGTTTGGGAGCGGAGATAAAGGTCCCGGGAAGACCGGGTATCGGAATAGCGAGCTGCGAATCAGGTCTGCGTTTGCCAAGGGGGATGCGATGGTTCTCAGTGGAAGCGAAACGGATAAGGCAGACCGGTCGGCCCAGGCGTACGTATATGCTTGGGATGTTGTGAGCGGGGAGCTCGTTGCTAGTGTTCCAGCCGGCGAGAGTGTCAAGGTTGTCAGTTGCGTGGCGTGGAATGAGAAGGGGGGATGCTGGGCCGGTGGTTGTTCCGACGGTGCGTATTTCCCATATTCATATCTCTCTACCCCTCATTTTCATTCATTATTTCGCGAGCGCCGAGGGATATCTCTCGATCTGTATTGGCCCCACATATTGACTTTTGGAATATGCTGACATGACGTCTCAAAAAATAGGCAGCGTCAAAATCTACGGCTAAAGCAGGCTCCGTCAACCGATGAATAATTAACTTAAACATACCACGTGCACTAGTCATGTTGCACATATCACTTTCACCAACTACAGCCCACAGGCTCCTACCCCCAAGAGAGGCGAGCGCATCGCAATCCCTAAGAGGAAAACATCGTGGCACAGATCGCTTTCCTGAGACAAGACAAACCACTCAAGCGATATCTTAATCTCCACAGCTCGTAGCCACTTGCCAAGTGTGCAGTGCTTCTGCGTTCACTGATAGCCATAGGGCCTCAGCTGCGCCACCACTAAGACTTCAGAAACTTGGTTATACTTTCCCCTCCCACGAACGCATGACACAGTCACAAACACCGATCTATTGATTAGTCCCTTTGGTTTTGTGGGAATGTATGGATTGCCACCATGGAGGAGTGAGGGTTCATTCGCGGGGTTTTACCATAAGACGAGGCTGGGTTTTAAATTGGTCTAGTTCAAGCTTTTAGGTGCCTGCAATTACGACTATTGTGGTTTTCTCAGGTGATGGAGGTTTGCCTTGGAAGTTCTATGGAATTGTCATTAGTGGAGATAGAATCCCAGTCTGAACAAAAATAGTCATCCTAAGAACAAAGAATACGAAGTGCAAGATAAATGGCAAGTAGTCAAAGCGCCGTGGATATCGATAACAATCCAAACTTAGATATCTAATCTCCAATCAAAAGCATGAACATCAATCATGGCATCTCATACCAAGACGGACAACTTCGCTAACTATCAATACAAGTTTAAGTAAAAAAAAAAAAAAAAAAAGGTTTAAAACAAGAATGTACTGTTATCCATATCGTGTCATTGTCCAAAATGATGAGACGAGAACTTTTGGGCGCCAGTATAGCAGATTATGGTAGACTTCAACGTAATCCGAGCGTAAATCGTTAATGGGAAGAAGAGAGTTCAAGTTGCCACAGATGTTCTCAAAAATAAGACAAGCTAAAAGTAAGCCTCGGTATCTTCTGCGGAAGGCCGGCGGTACGTTTGAGAGTCGAAGGCAGAGTATAATCGGAGGCCGCAAGGTAGATATAATCATATCTCGAATCCTTCAAGGCCCTCGGGCTCCTGACTCTCGGCTTCCAAAGCATCCACGGCGCGCTGAAGCTCGTGCTCACCGACAATAATGGTCCCCGCTCGTGCAGTGCTGAGGAAGCTGATCTCAACAGCCTCTATTGAGCTGTCCAAGTCAGGCTCCAGGTGGTGGGTCAGATTGCCGTTGCTGGCTAATTTGCGTCCAGAACCAGGGGTTGGAGGTTTCACGGGCCCGCCTGATCCGACGCTCGAAGAGAAAAACCGATTCATGGTGTCATCAAAGGAAGAAAAACCATTGAAAGAATGAGACATAATTGTGGAAGAACCATCCATGATGTCATCGCCTCGAGCATGCGTAGCGTCTGCCAACCTACCAGCTACGCCACAAACAATACCAGTAGCTTCTAATGGAAGCCTGCGCAGATCTAGCACTATAGGAACGAGGATCTCCTCTTTCGAGCCCAATAAGAGACTGGTTTCATCATCTGGCTCGGCAGGGGCTGTAGGGTCACTCGAGAATCGAGGCAAAAGCCGCTGTTCCAACAAGAGTGAGGCTGCAGGATCGGCAGCCGTCATGGTAAGAGATAGAAAGCGTGGCTTGTCCACGACAAGCGCTATTGTCAGCGCATCGCGCAGTATAGATATAGAGCTGACCTCACTGCTGTCACGATGGTGAACCGCACATTGAACTAAGCGGAGAGATTTATCAACCGAAGGAGTGATGCTATTCTTTCGTAAGGAAGAAAAAGTGCGAGTCTGTAATTCATCAAGTGACGATGGTGGGGGAGTGGGTGGGGGAGATCCCAGGCTGCTGGTGGACCGAGGGGACACGGGACTGAGACAACTGTTGAACTGGTTGTTGTTGATGAATGCGTCCGTTGACATCTCGAATTGAAACCCACGCTTTTCCAGAGTTTGGATTACCTGCGCCTTGCTACGCAGAGGAACAATGATATAGTCTGAGAAGTAAGTGGAAATAAAGAATATAGAGCTGCATATAGCACCATTAGCACAACCTACGATCACGGGGAAAGACGAGAAGAAAACATACATTCCCGCCATCGCTAATGGACTGGTGAGTTCGAGTACTCGTTGGCCTGCCTCGAGGCCTTCTCCATAAACTTGCATGGCAATGAAATCCTCACGGCTAATAGACAAGCGGCTCGGGTTCGATACGTTATCTTTCGCAAACCGTTCAACCATTGGAGCGAAATAGTCATTGGCGAGTTGCCTAGGACACATAATAGAACATTCCACAGGTGTGATGGAGAGGTTCAAGAACGCAGGTTGAGAGCGTTTGTGGACACCGTCGGGGCCCCCATGTTGGAAATCTGCAGGATTCCCACTAACTGGAGGTACCTCATGAAAAAGGACCTGAAGGATTGGATTCAAAAAATACGGGTAGAGGTCCAGTGGAATATGGACGAGGGCCAGTCGGTCGTCCTGCATTACCATCATTGTTGTTAGCAAGCTAAGTCTCAAGAAACGAAGGATCACTGGAAATGTCCAGCAGTTTTCTGAAGAAGCCATATTCAGGAACCATGCTGTAAGATGGATCTAATGCATGTAGGACATAATAGGCTCACCATGAACTGGACCTGAGCAGAAATGAGAGATAGCGACTGCTCCATCTTTTCAGGTGTATTGTAAAGTCTGTGTGGCTCAGGAACAGGTCAGACGCCGGCGCTTCACGAGGGCGATCCCGTGAATAAATCACTGGTGGATTTAGTGCGGCGCAGGACAATAGAGCCAGGCTGAATTGAGGCTCTTAGGTGATGGCGTGGCAAGGCTGGATTCCAGCAGGTAGAACTATATATAGGAATGCAAATCAAGGAAGAGCGAAGACTTGACTGTCCACTCCGCGTGATTAATTCCTGTCGAAAGTTTGGAAGGTGCAAATGATATACTAAGAATAATAAGGAGGTGGTACTGGTGCAATTGATAGCTCGCCTTTGTGAGCAACGAGATGAGCCGAACGACGAAATATTTTCAGACGGACTGCAGTCAGAACAGAGTCGCTTCGTCTGTTTGTCTTATACTGCATAGTTTCGTCTCTGTTGGATCTTTTGAGACGTTGAACAGTCATTCCTTCTTGTCGACCGCCTTCCGTTACGCCATTTTCTGAGGGAATGATATCAATAAGACCAGCACGCAAGTAAGGGGTTGTCGAACGGTGATGCTATAAGAGACGGGCGATCAGGGAAAGTCGAGGAGCATGGCATCAGAGATGGTTCGAAGCACACCAGAATCGGAATGAGTCAAGAAGGTGGAAGAGAACTTGAACAAGGGCTTCTCAGGTGACTTGGACTCTATGCCTATTCTGTATGTACAGTACTTACGTTTTTTTTTCTCAACTCACTCTATTACACTCCCTCTTCTTCACCCTTTCCAATGCAATGCAATGCAATGAATTAATAATTCTGTGGTCGGCTGCTCTTTCCAACTTTGCTGAAACTTGAGTCACTGAAGGTTTGTTGCAAAAAAAGGTCCCCACACAGATATCCACAATCGTTGGAAGCTTAACCAAGGCAAAAAGAAAAAGAAAATAAAATAAGCTATAAGGGTATATATGACCGGTTGTCCCTCCCTTCAGATTTTTTTTTTGTGGCTTTTTGGCCCCTTGAGGCCTGAACAACCGCTTGAGGAAAATTGGTTAATGCCTTATCCTCTTTTTTTACCTAATGATCTTTCGCAATAGATATAGCCGTTGGCCGAGTGGTTCGTCCAGCTTTTATCTCCAGTGTCGTGTCTCCACCAGCACCACTGCTTATCAGCAGTTGTAGCAAATGAGCAATTCCGTTGCGATCGCCACTCCGCGATAGGCGCCACTACCGATAAATGCCTGTGCTTTTGCTGGTCAAATCCTCCCGGCGCACGGTTGCTAATGCCAATCCAATGGCCTTGCGTGGGCAGATCAGGATTTGAAACGACTGATTCATGGCGGATGCTCATGGGCTCCCCGCACTTTCAAGCAACAAGGATCATGGGGTAACTTACTCAGGCTAGTCAGGCACCACAACACTGATCGGTCACACCATCTGCAGTTGGGTAGAGTGTGGCAGCACCATTCGTATCGTAAGATATGGACCTCCACCTCTTCGCAAGCCGGAGGGGGCCCGTTTTCGATGGGAGATAAAGCGGGTGGGTTTGGGAGGGTCCCAATGACACCGCAATGAGTTGGGTGGAGTCCTGTCCATCCACGGAATGCCAGCGGGAAACCCCCCTACGATAAGAGAAGCCTTCCACATTCTTTGAACCTGCCCTAATCATGGCACCACCCACTTCCCCTTCGGAATATAACAACGGCGGTACAACCCTGGTGCAGGCAGATATTGTTTCGTCTAGCAAGCAATATCACTCCAAGAGCGTCATACCAAGAGATGTCTCTGAATCCCGTCGGAGGTCAACTAGCTCGTCATTCGCAACGGCAATCACCACAAATTGCGAGTCGAGTTTTGCATTCCTCGGCATTGCCGGTTAAAACGTCCAAGGCATTCATCTGACTGCGCTTGCAGCGCTACAACAGCAAATAACTATGAAATCTATGTCCCATGACCTTCTCAAAGCGCAGTCTCTATCTTTCACAAAACTCACTAGCATGGTCGTTTTTGAAGCGCTTTCCCATATCTTGCTCTTCATGCATACCGTTGTCTACCTCTAACCATCATCTACAGGGACTGGTAAGAGGCAGTCAAAATCACGACTCTCGCATTCATTCGCTCCTGGGAATCTCAATCATGCGATCACGTCGCCATCTCGGTGATCTACTAGTTATGCTTGCATAATCAGTCTCTGACGTACGTAGGGTCCACTACATCCCTTGATTGTATTTGACGACCATACTGCTCTCTTAATGAATTGGGTGTCTAGCGTGCCAATATATACCCAACCTGACTATTTGCGACCTCTTCTTCCCATTAGGCAGATATCATCGCCAGTTTCCAAACTGATGCGGGCTCCATAATGAGTGATTTAGATCCCTTGTCGCTTCCAACGGTTTCACATGCTTTTCAACTTCCTGTCTCTGCAGTACTTGTCCTCTTAAGTCCTAGTCTCTTGGGGTCTATAAAACATGCGTCTAATGACCCATTCTCCGTCCATTTCGAATAATACCTCAAGGTCCACTGGCATACATACCTTTCCGATGAAGGAGCCCTTATCAACCATCCAGAATCTACGGGGAAGGACCATTAGCTATACCATATAGATACTTAAAGCTAGAGAGCCAAGGGCTGCTACCAACCCTTCATGGGATAATGGTCTTATTATTCGAGAATACAATCATTACATGACCCGTACATAACTCAACTAGTCGTCATCTAATCTCGTCCAATGAGAAGAATGATCGGATTGCCCTGTGCTCTGAAACATGTCAGGATTTACCACTAAACCATGACCGTCTTACCTACTACCTATCAGACGTCATAACAACCTAGGGTTAGTAGTATACGGTCAGGAATTCCTTCATAATGAAAGGATCCAGAGCACCAATATGTACTAGTAGCCCGGTCATTGTAAATAGCTTAAATAGCCAGAGCAAATCTCTTACTTGAGTCTCGTCATTTCCATTCCCCTTTCATCTGCAATATATGAAACACACAACTTCCCCCCAATCCATGCCAAGTGGACCTATATACATGACCACAATATAAACAACAACAACAACATAACAGACCCAGAATCCCACACCCACCCCTACTAAACCCCTCAATCCCCTCAAAAAAAAAAAAAAAAAAAACTACTTAAAATGCCCACCAACCCAAACCCCTCAAAGCAACTACCAACCCACACCATCCGCCCAGTCTCCCCAATCGACCTAACCCGGCTAACCCCCTCCCAACAAGCCATCTACAACTGTCTCCGCTCGCAAGGCTGGACGGACACACACTGCAGCACCTGGTTACGAAGCACCGACCACATGCAAGAGTCTCTATCGGGGTGGTTCCGCGCGCAGGGCTGGAGCGAGGAGCAGCTGCGGGCGTTTCGGGAGCGGTGCGAGGGGGAGTTGCCGGTGGGTGTTGCGCCGCCGCCGCCGGTTACGGGGGATGATGGGTGGCAGGCGGAGTTTGATTTGCAGGGTAAGTTGCTTGGGGAGGCGGGGAGGAGGAAGAGGGTTGGGGAGGAGATGGGGGTTGGGTTTGGGGTTGAGAGGAAGAGGAGGATGAGGAGGTCGGGGTAGTGATAGTGGTATATGTGGTGTTGAAGGTGGAGGAAAAAGGAAGAGGTGTGCTTTTTTATGGTTGTGTAATTTGATGAAGGGATTGCCTTCTGAGTCTGGCTTGTGGTTATACTTTTTGTTTTTGTTTTTTTTTTTTATTTTTTTTTGTTTCTGATACCTTTATGTGCGAATACGAACTACAGAGGGAAAATACCCTAATATTTGTTGATGCTCCGGAATTGTACATACTATCCTGGAGGGAAAGATATGGAGCTAGATACTGTAACCAAATGAATAAGAATCACATCTCTGCATAGCTGTTCACGCTACCTATTATGATGAGAGAAGAGGTCCTAAGGGGTATGCTTAAGAATAGAATTCATCAGGCTAAGCAGAGGTCTTCATGGAATCATGGGAATAGTAGCCCGAATATCAGACGAGATAGAAAACAGAAGACGTGCTCTGTAGGTAAGGTAAACAGTTATACATGTGTATACATCATTGTTTCAAATTCATTACCGAGTTTGTCTGTCTGACAACAATACAAGTTACATATATCCCCAAAGCAGCCCAATGATTTTTGGATTTGTCTTCTGAGCCAGAGCAAGAAACCAATCACATAGATAGAAGAAACGATGACAACGCCGGCAATGCATGAATCATCCCAAACAAACGACAATGGTATAAATCGAATCCTACCGAGCCAACCCAAACGCACCTGGTATTTACTCCTCGTCGACTCTGGCGCGTTTGGAGCCACGGTCTTCACGATCGACTTCCTGAATGCCGTAGCGCTTCTGTCCAGCTCCGCCAGTGACGTCGGCAATCATACTGTCGATGCCGAAGGGATCAGTGGTGTCTTTCTCGAATTGAACAGGGCCATCACGAGCCTTTTCATTTCGTTAGCAGTGATTCTACTATAAAAGTTGACGAAAGGGATGAATTGAGTTACTCACCTCGGCATCAGCGGCTCCACGGAAGCCTTCCTTAGCCTTGCCCAGAACTTCGAATCGGTTCGACTTTTGAATCCTGCTCATTTCTCCCTCGGCACCACCCTCGTCGTCGTCGGCGTCGACTTGGGCCCGGGGACGGTAGATGCTGTTGATGGCGTCCTGCGCAGCAAACAACGGCTTGTCATAAGGGTTGTCCTCGTTGAACCCGGAGTCCATCCCACTTGTCTGGTTAAACAGACGAGAATCCCACATAGTCTCGGAAGACTGAGTCGGTTTGGCCAATCCCAGAGCGACCTTCTCCGAGATGTCACGGTTCTGTTCACGAGCCATTGCCTGGATACGTCTCTCTGTACCCATTCTCGACTGACGGAGCTGTCTCTCGTTTTCCTGACGGCGCTCGCGACGCATGCGCTCACGCTCCCGGGCAGCTCGTTCGTCGTCACTAGGAGTGCCAGACCGATCAGAGGACGGAGACGGACTGCGGCTGACACTGCGAGAACGAGAGCGAGAGCGAGACACGGCACGGGAGTCGCGACGGCTGCTGGTAGCTCTCTCTTCGCGGGCCTTCTGGGCAAGTGCCCGCAAGTGTTCTTCCTTCTGCGCCTTTTCCTTTTCCGCTAATTTTTGCTGCATCTGAGCACGCAGTCTAACCTCCTCACGAGCATGTCTATCGGCAGTGAACAAAGCCTCAGCAAACTGAGCAAACTTATCGTTAATAGTAACGTCCTGCAGGCCACGACCATCTGCGGCCAAACGCTTATCGAGCGGAACCGTATAACCCTTAGGATTCTTCCAATTCGACACAGGCGGTGGGATCTTCCAGGCCTCCTGATCTTCCGCCGTAAGTTTCCGCGGCGGCGAATGCATGATCGGTGGGGGCGGCGACGGCGGTCCACGAGGGATCTTTTTGTGCTTGAACTTCGGCGGTTCCATAGGATCCTGCTGTCTTTCCACGATCTTCATGATGCGGTCATTCTTCCGAGAATTATCACCCATCTGGTTCGCAGGCGTATAACGAACAAATGTCGGCTCCGCCCGACTACCACCCTTCACGTTCTTAGGCTTCTGTGCTGCCACGGCTCCCGACACCAGGTTCGCCAGCGCATTCTTCGTCTTCTCCATCTGTGCTGCGACTTCCTCTTCTGACGGCCGGTCAAGCGAGATTTCACCCATATCCACCCGCTGTCGGAGCGGGATCAAGTCCTTAAAGGAGGCGTGCACAATCCGGTTATCGCTGTGGCCTCGTCGCGCGATCGCATCGTATTTGACCTTTCCCTCTGCATCAACCTGGACAGCAAGTGCATTAGATGTCGATGATGAGCCTTTCCGGCCCATGTCGAGCGGATACTGTGCGACCAAAATCTCGGGGAACGCGCCACCGTCGCCAAAATCCTCGGGGGCTCGAGGACGCCATCCGGTACGGTTTCCATACGGGGGAGGGCCGGTTTTCTAAGGCGTTGATCATTAGCATCCCAATGACACATAAATATCACATCTAAATAAACCGGGATGAGCTCACCCTTAACACAATCTGAGACTCATCGATCTGGTCCGCGCCCACAACCCGCGGACCACGGGGCTGCGCGTGATGCGGGATCTCCTCATCCTCACCGGTGTATTTCGGTTTTGGAAGGGATTTAAAAAGCCCCTCTGCAATGGAAGTCATTGTCGAGGGGGGGAAACTGTTGATAAGGGAATGGGGAGAGAGAAGTGATTGATAAGTTGAAAGTTCTAGTGGTGGTTGGATGCTTTTTCTCTTTTTGGCGGCGGGATTGCGGGAGTGGATTCTGTGCCGCACCGTAGTGTCTTTTTCTAGTTGTCTCGTCGTCATTGTTTCCCGATTGGGAACACATCCATTTTCATAGTTTATCACTCGATATCAACAAATAAACCTACCGCTGCAGTACTGGGAGCAATACGGTCGGGACTTCCCTCTGTATCTGTATGACACATATAATAGGGCTATAAATATATTTTTAGTTCTTTCTATTTTTCGTGAACTTCTATAATCGTCTAATCCAACATTGACAATGGCGTCTGATTATGTCTAACAATCGTTGACTGGAGCCAATGTCAAATATTTTAGTTTTCTGGATTCACAGTCATACACTAACATAGCCACAGAAGACCATAGTCACGCTTAGGAGAGCGAGGTAGTTAGAGAAGGGAGTTCCATTGAGTAAGTACACCAGGTACAACTAAGCTGTCGCCATCCCAGAACCTCCATCGTATTCACCATCCAATATGCCCACACCACGGCCAAATTGCAAAACGTGCGTAGTATCCAGCGAACATCGAACCACCACTTATCTCCTGCACCAGACCAGTCCAGCAAGTCAGCAAAAGCAGGTATTGCATTCGCTATGTGATGTCAGCATCCCAAACGCACAAGTAACCAAAGCACGGAACACACTCAAGACAACGAAAGGAAGGGAGGTCGGAGCAGAAAAGAAAAAGACATACCAAATCAGAAAGGCTGGTAGCGCTTGTGAAATTCAATATGACTGAGCCCGCTCATCTGAAAGACTGCATTGAAATCCTTAGCATCATACCTGATCCTGTCCTTTGGCAAACACACATAGTAAGGCTGGCCAGTACAAGTGTTTGCCCAGTGACCGGCACACTGTGTCTCAGCGATTTGCTTGACAGTGAGGTGCATACAATCACCATTGGGCGCGTGAAACCAGAACTTGCGGTCTTCCTCAACAAGGTATGGGACCTGGTACATTAGCTTTCCGGAGCTAGAGGCTATGAGCGAGAAGTTAGTACCTTGCACTTATTCTCAGCTTTAGTTATATACTAGGCATGACAGGAAATAGGGTCGACGATACCAGCAGAAACCGCCATCGGCTTGTTCACTTCGAAAACGTCGGGGTGATAAGGCTTAGGTATAACAGGGTCAGACACATTTACAGGGCGGCAGACACAATGGCCAGGGAATCCTGCAGCCTACAGCTTATGTTTTGTTAGTGAGTTTATAGCGTCATGCTCATCTTAGCGTACCTTTGGGCAGTAAGTGGGAGCAGGGATAACGCCAATGTATGGTCCGCTGGAGGAGCAGCTCAGGTGAAGTTTGGGTCCGGTGCAGCACTGATAGCCAGCTTGAGCAGGAGTTGCGCCAGGTGCAGCCAGAACAGTGGCAGCAGCAGGTCTAGTAGAAGAAGTGAAAGCAGTAGAAGTAGTGGGAGTCGCAGTCACGGTGTACTCTTCTGGCTGCAGCTTTGGCCAAGTAGGTCGGTACTTGGCAGGGGTAACAGTAACTGGAGTATTAAAAGCAGCAAAAGGTGTGCCCTCTTTGGCATCGGCATCACGGATTTCAGTCATGTTTATGTATGGTCAGTTGGGTAAGAAGGTGTGGTTACGCGGTCAAGGGTGTTAAAGGATGTGACCGGATGAGGATGTAAAGTGAAAAGATCGCGAATGTGGATAATCAAAGAAGAGAATATCTGAGGGGGGCCTCAGGTAATCTGAAATGATAGTAACACCGGCAAACAAATGGTGGGACTCCAGTGGGATCGTTGGCATGACAGGCAGAAGCCAAAGTCCGTTACCTATCGGATGCCTCCCCTACTTCACTTGAAACCTCAACAAATCATCCTGGCTTTTATTTCCTGAAGACAAACTATATTCCACAACTTCAAGTATTCCATTTATTACGAATGCTACTAGTGGTTTATGCTATTCATACTCCAAGAGCGCAGAATAATAAGTCTATCCGTCAGTACACCAAACATGCAACAGGCAAAAAGCAAAGCTGTGCAGTCCAAGAGTGGCGATGTCCAAAACAACAACATTGTCAACAGCACCACAGTTATTAACATATCAATACAGATGTCATGCGTTCACCAGATACTGGCTAGCTTTCATCTGGCATCAAGTGAGTGCGCATAGGGCAAGCAATAGCTTCGGAATCAGTGGCTTCTACATAATGCTGTGCCCCGTGGTATGTATACCAGATCTTCAGGGTCTTTGGCAGAAGAGGGGCCGGGTCATAAAAGCCAAGGATATGGAACTGCTCATAATTAGCTAATCGTATCCCTGTGAGATCGCTGGGCTGATAATAAACTTACCTTGACCATGTTTTTGGGAATCACCAGCTGGCTACGGTCGACCAAGCCAGCCACGGGGATAGTAACATCCACCACCTCATATTCTTTATCAATGCCGTTGCCCTTCGTCTTTGAAGGATAATGGCCATACTCGGCCTTAGTAATGACTAGACCGTCCTGTCTTTCCTCCTTCGCTTGCTTCCGCCGTATCTGCTCAGTCATAAGTTCAGTCGCTTGCAGGCTTTCTGCTCTCTTTATTGGCACCAATTTCTTCAGCTCCTTCTGTCGTCGAGCTATCACACGCCGACGGTTCTTCCTTTCTCGTGGCCGAATGAACCCAAATTCCCACGCGCAGTATGCCACCCATGGGAATATCACAGCAAGCGCGGCAGCGTCCGCATTAACCATGTTAACGGGGCAGACAGCGATAGGAAGTTTGATCTTTTGGCCAAGTCTACTCCACGAGACCGTCATGACAAGGCCATGGGGGCCTTCAATTCCAACACCGAGTCCCATGCGAGTCAGTTCTCCAACCTGCCTTGACCCTTCAATCTTCCACGAAAGTGACAAATCCATGTTGACAGTACTGGCCACTTCAACCCGCACAGAGCGTGGTTCATTTGCCGGTGGCAATGCATAATGGCCCTCGGAACTCCATTCAGAGCGCATAGGGTCATTGGCGGCCGTTCCAGAGAAGAGATTGCGTGCATAGCTCAGTTGTAAGCCACTTGCTTCAGGAGAAACAGAGAAGCCTAACTGCCAAGCTTCGCCCACCTTGTCTTCTGCGCGCTGCTTGGACCGAAGCTGCTGGTACTCGCTCTCCTCTTCCTCGCCCTCTGGCTCTTCGTCATAGTCATCCATAAAAGCAGCCTGCTTGTGAGATTTTGGGAGAGATAGCAAACCAACCTGGAACTGGCTAAGCTGTTTGGGAATGGTGAATGCAGAGTCGACGTCCAGACCAATGTCAAGAAAGGGGCTAAGCAAGCGCTCTACAGCGCCTGGCCAGCTGATAGTACCACTTTGCCATCTACAGTAGGCGTGTTTCCTGTCACCCACCTCTTTCATGACCTGAACAGCCATTGCTGGCGGGCACTTCACAGGCGACTTATAGAACGAACTGCTAAAGTTGACGTTAAAAGGCTTCGCCCCGGCAATGGGCGTAAAAGCTTTCGTCATGTTCGCCTGCATTGACGGAACAGGCAAGACCATGGCACCAACCGAGACGGCAGAATATCTGAGGAACGAGAAAGGCCGCTTGCTAAGGATGCCCTTCTGGCTTGCAACGTCGCCAAACACATGATTGACAGAGGCCCCAAGCGTGATCTCCTGCGAGGCTATAATTGGTGGCAAGGGAACCTACACAACACTGTCAGCCACAATTCCGGCTGATCACAACAACGCCTCTCTTACCTTACGTATTTCCGTAGTTCCATCATTAAGCTCGACCGTAAGTTTCTGGGCCAGGTGCCGCATCTCACCCGAAATCCCAGCATTGATGACCATCTCCGGCTCATCGCCCTCAGCCTCAGCCTCCTGCTGCTCAGCACCATCCTCCACAGGCTCATCCCTCTCCAACTTCCCCAACAGCTTCTTCGGCGTGGGCAAAGGCGCCTTAAAAGCATACCCCACATTGAACCTGGACGGCCTAGCCGAAGGCACATTGACATAAACCTCACCCTCGTCCTCATCGACAGAAATCAGATCGGAAGCATCAATACCCAGGACAATGGAACCCTACCAGACGCAAAGAAACAAAGAGAGCCCACCAGGTCAGCAACAACGCCCCAAATCAAACCCCCTCCCGAACAAAAATAACTGACAGGGAATAATGATAAACATACCCGACTCTGCACCATAGAATTAATGGCCTTCCTCTCCCTCCGCTTCATAGCCTCCAAAAACCACTTCCGGAACTCCTCAGGCGTCCTAGCCCTGACACCCACCCTGCGTTCCCGCTCCGCCTCCCCGCCCCTTCCCATACTCCCACCGGGTCCCCATTCCGCCCGGACGCCCTCCGCACCCAGAAGATCATACACGGTCCTCTTTCGATGATCAATCAGCGTATCGTACGCCTCGCGGATGCGCTCGAAATGCCGTCTCGCGATCTCCTGCCACTCACCGGGCTGTTTGTCCGGGTGGAAGCTCAGCGTCAGATTCTTGTACGCGGAGCGGATCTCCGCGTCGTTAGGCGGCGGTGTCCGGGACAACCCCAGGAGGGCATAGTAATCCGTTTCTTCAGGGTAGGATAATAGAGCCGAGTAGTCCGGTTCCGCTTCGGTGGAGGGATGTGCTTGATTGCGATCCGTGGTATTCTCTGGGTATTCGGAGCCGGTGGTCCATTCTTGGGATGTTGTTGCTTCAGCATGGACCCAGTCCGAGGACTCGGATGAGTAGGACGCTTCCATGGTGACTGTGCTGTTGGTTCTCTGGAGGGGGGCAATCAGTTCAAGAATTAGTTGTGGAAGTGGCGACGAGGCATCTTCTTGTGATGATTGGTGTTTCGAATTGATCTTAGTCGGTAGGTGATACGTCGGGGAGTTTTTTTTAACTATTTTTTCCTTTCTTCTTTTTGCGGGGATACGTTTAGCTGTTATTTGGGATGACGTCGCGGGAAAAAAGTGTCGGGGGTTCGGATGTGGATCCCCGTTGGTCCCGTGTACGTACCTTGACGGATTCGGTATGGTGGGAACCTTTCAATTAAGGTACGACGTTTGTGTTCTTCCCGTTTTGTTTTGGGTATTACTTAGGTACTCTTGTCTTCATTGGGATGGGCCACTTATATAGATATATATAATATCATAATAGAATTGAAATGCATAGGTCAAAAGTCTCTAGGGAAACTCAATTCAAAGCATGCTTAGATCAACCATGTCTCGCTAATATACACGTCCATGTCAATGCATCTAGCGTATCATTCATGTCATACGGGACCACACACAATGGATCCCCATTTACTCCGTTAACAGGCATACTCCAGTCTTCAATCAAACGGAGCAGAAAATTCAAACAGCGCAAGGGCTAAAGGGTAACGGAAGAAAGAGACCAGCCTCCAGGGTATATGGTAATAAATTATCTTAGCCCATTTTGGTAAACCGCGCCATGCAAGGATCCAGAGAACAAATGAGGGAAAGGATAAAGAGTAGAAATGGTAGCAGATCACGAACATTAAATGGGAAAGTAGCTGTGCAATGCACTGCTTTTATTCAACTGGTGTCTCTGATCCAGAGAATATTTTCTTCCAGGAATGGAACATTTCCGGCGCCCACGGCGGCAAAGAACCGTTCGCGGGGCAAGCCACCGTACATGAGATCTTCGTTGGATGGTGGTTCTTGCTTTTGGGTACCGCTGCGGACCTGACTATCCAGAGACGGGCCGGTTACCATGAAAGCAGCCTTGCCTTCCGACATCATCGGGTGATGGCGATGCTCTAGCATCACATCTAGACGTGTTTCGACCAATGATACTAAAGGCACAGATCCAGCCCAGAAACGGCTCAGTTCCTTCAATGCTTCGAGACCACCCCGAATGAGAGTGATGGTCTCGGGGATATCAACCATTAACCCACCCGCACTGAGGACGTCGACCGCAGAGACTATCACGTAGCCTAAGTAAGGACTAAGAATCGTGCCTTTGGCCGTGGTCGGCTCCATGACAAGTCGCGACGGTTCGTATTCGGCAGCGTAGCGCATAAGAGTAAGAGATATCCGGAGAATCTCGGCCGCGTGATTCCGAGTTGTATGTACGTGCCAGTCGATTGTTGCTTCAGGCAGGCTACGGTGACGAGCATGTCGATTGAGCTTCATCAACGTGGCATGATACAGGAAGTGAATCTCCACGAATGTGTCTGCCTTTTTTGTCCGAATGCTTCGCTCCATATTTACTGCCGTGAAGGTAAGATGATCTGGAAGTTTCGAGATCAGCTCGTCCGACCGCCGGACGATGGAAGAATGAAATTCTTCGAAGAGTTTGCGATATGCATCCGCGGGTATCAATGATAGTCGAAATACATGATCAGACACATCTCCCCAGATGGCCATGGTGTCTATCATAAGCGCCATGGCACTTATGCCAGAGAGCTCATCCTCTGGCGACACCGGTGTCTGGTTCAAGAAATTTTGGAAATAAGGTACGGTAGTATATTGTTGGGCTTCGTAGACTTCTTCTCGGCAAGGGAGTCTGAGGTAGGCGGATTGGGATGAAATAAAGGTCGAGGAGGGTGTGTAGAAGGAGGACAGACGCTAGTAGACAAATGGTCAGCGCAAGTTCGGAAATGAAACCAACTGAGTAAAGTCGGGACGTTCCCGGGGAACCTACATCCATCATAAATGCAATCCAGAACGTCCTCCGGCGGCACTCAATCAACGCTTGAGGGTGTAGACCGTATTCACAAGTTTGTTGGCTTTGGTCTACGATCACTCCACCTGACTCGACATTATATCGTAACCCGCACACGGTTCGAACGGCGG